TTCGCTTTGTTGTGTATTCATACCACTTGTCAATCAAAGATCATGCGAAATTGACAACTTCGATCCTCTCAGATGAATTTGCAAGCAACACAAAGACATTGTAATTGCATTTTAAAAAGTGCATTCGAAATTTTCTCATCCATAAGTACCACTCGATTACGATTCTGTCAATATTCCACCAATTTATTTGAAGTAAACAATATTACTAAAATAATCAGATACAACTAATGAAAAACTTCTTATTTGATAGTTAGCCAATACTTTTTGGAAATTTAAACACATCGTGTAATTGGAATAAAATGAAAAAACATCTAAATAGTGTAAGGACATTTACATACAAACTCGACCGTTTTCCCTTATAATATGAAAATTTTAATTATATTAAATATAAAAAATGAATTCTTACCAAAAATTGAGGTATATAACGGTCTGTGCTAGATATTATGTAAGACTTAACAAATAGATCACCACACTAGAATATCTCACACCTTCAGTAGTTTGTTTTGAGGAACACACCAACAAAACAAACAGACACAAGTTTAGTCGGTAAATATATATATATGCATGTGCATATCTTATCAATTTTATCAATATACTTTGCAGCAGTTTTTAATGCATAGAACTATTTGTTAACTTTAAAGTAAAGTTTGTTTCTATCCTACTGGAATTTTGCAATAGCTTATAGCCTTAGTAACGTACAATTCTATTTTGCTCTATTTGCTGAAGAGTTCATATTTTATAGTACTGAAAATATTTTTCTTTCTGAAACAATTATGTAACTGTTAGTTCAATAAAAGGAAGTTCTAAGTAAATTCTGTCTGAAAATTCAGTGAATACATCAATACCAGGTGTGGAATTGATTGATAGGGAGCCTAAAACCCCTTTTTCAATACAAACTCTTCACGTTGTCACCGGTTGCAGTCTGCGAAAGATCGGGATGTTCAGAGTTCTACATAAACACAATCGCCTTTGGTTAAGTTTGCATAAAATTAGTCAAAATAGACAAAATTATAAAAATATTTTCGTAATTTATTCATATCCATAACCGTTGGTAGATTTACAGTGTCGCTTTATTTAACATTTAAACAAATGTGGTAAAATTAAAATGAAACGGAAACAGATTACTTATAGGTGACATTTTTTAATAATGTATCTTTAAAAATAAAAAATGTAGCCATTATTATTTTGTAATATTTTTAGAAAGAATATCTTTTTTTACATGGTACTTATTTAAAGTACAAAGTATACATATTTAAATTTAAAAACCCCCTTTTTTATAGTGATGTCTTTATCCTTCATTGTTTGAAGTTAAAAATGGACCAAATACGTAAAATGTATTATATATGTTCAATTCATTTACATTTTTGTATATCAAAACCATTACAAGTATGTGAATTTTTGACAATATTTTTAATCAATAATATATCAGTAAAAATTATTTATCAGTAAATAAAAAAATAAATAAATTTAGTCCACCTATTTGTTTAAAATCCATCAGCAAAAATTGAATCTTTTGTCTGCGTTATCAGTTAGTAAGCTTTACGATGATCTCGTTTTAGTATTATAACTAGCATTGTTTATTTTTTATTTCTGAAGCTACAGTCCTTGGTGGGCTTATGAATACGAGACGAATTGTGGCAAGGAATAGAGGAAAATTATAACCTTCTCAGGAAAAGTCATGTCATGAAATGTTCCTCTATAAACAGATTAGATGTCAAAAGTGTATCGATGCGAAAGGACTTCGTTTTGGACAATTATTGTAAGACTTGTTACTTAATTACTTACTCGACCTATTTGCTAATGTTATTTTATTATTTAGTTTTGATATTTTTTCCAGAAATAAAATTATTTCTACAAAAAACCACCAGTGGCGTATTCTTTTCTTGGAAAAAGTTGGCGGACGCTTTAGTAGCACGTCTCTGGTTAAAACCAGGAGGTTTTAACGGATTAATTTATTAGGAAAATTCAAATAAACGTAAAAACAAGTCCAAATATCTCCTAAACGGCTGCTACTATTAAAAAACACCAAGAGACATTTTTCATTCATTTAACGTAACAGTATCTGAATGTAACATTATTTCTACAAAAAAACGCCATTGGCGTTCTAGCATTGTATTTTATTTAAAATTATGAAAATTTATCATATATTATCTGAACCGCGATTGGGACAACACGACCTTGACATACCCAGTAAGAGTTTTTTGTTACACTTATGGCTTTTATACCTCTTCAATATTAGATTCATTAACTTTAGCCCTGTCATATATGCAGACATGTTAAAGTGTTATCCTTGGTGTCAAAATTTTTTATTTATTGGTAATTGTTAGTTAGAAAATATTACTTCGTTGTTTACTGTGTGTACTGCTTTCTTCCTATAATCATGAATGTTTTTTTTGTGAAAAATTATCTTTAACAATTTGAGGTACCTATACTCCGCGGTCGAAATTATAGAGAGTGACTCATCGCTAGCTTTTGGACTAGTAAGGGGGATGAAGCGTGCCGGGAACGAAAATCCATTGGCGTGTCTGCATAAAAGGCAACAAAATATAGAAAATAATGAAAAAAGATAATAAAACATAATATCTAATATTTTTTTACGGTTTGCTATAACCGGCACTTTGATCCATTTTAATTATTACAGCATTTTAAAACGTCCCAGTAGTTTTTTTAATTTATAAATTTATTATAGGCATGGAATTAGACCCCTCGTCTACGCTTATGCTATGACGTTTCTCAGGACGGATAAATCAAGTCCGTTTACACCCACTAAAAAATCATTTCCCTATTCCCTAATACGTACAAAAGACAGAGATAGAATATAGATTGACGTTCAGTGTACCTCAGTTTATAGACGATTATAGATTCTATCGATGTGCGTAGCGAGCGGCACAAAGATAAATAATATTGAACCGTATAAAAATCATTTTATATTTTATAAGCATTATGGTAATAGTGTGTTTCAACAGCAATATACAGATTTTGTTAGCATTTATTTAACACAGTTATTAATTATTAATATGTTTTAAAAAATAGTAGTAAACGTAAATACAGCATTTTAAATACAGTTTCTTCGTAATCTGTGACACAAATTGTGGTTTCTATATAAATTTAGTCAACAATGTACATTTTTTATATAATTTATTTCTACATGTACGTACGAAGTACGTCACATTTTTAAAAGCACTAAAGACTACAAAACTGTGTTTTCGAGATAAATGGAAAAATGTCATCCCATCATGTTCACATAGTTTTCTTCTATGTTTTTTTCTATATCTTCAAATAAACCATATATTTTAATTAAAATTATGTAATTATTCATTTTTGATGAAGCTATTAAAATTTGGTTAAACATAGATACGTAACTAGAGGAGCGATATCTATTGTAGAATAGTTATATACCAGAAAGTTCGTTAAATCTAATCACAAATTTCCTGAATATGTCCCAATTTCACACCCCAGCGGAGAGGATTATTCCTCCCTTATTTTAGGAAATAATATACAAATACTGCAGCCTCGCACCCCACGATCGGAAACTAACCCCATTCACACGATCGTAACTAGATCTTTTCATATAAAATCTAAATAAAGTGTTATTTTAACAATTTGTACACCACTTTGTGTCAACGGAATTGGCCACTTACAACAATGAAACGAAATGCCATTGTACGGAATAGCTATCAATTTTTACGTTGACGGGAAAGTGTTAGTTTTGAAAGGAGTTAGAATTGCACAAAAAAAGGTCCTAAATGTCGTATACGGTTTCACCTTTTCTGCAGTTCCGATTTCCATTGATTTAGTTATTTTTGTAAAACTGTTCCAAACATAAGGAGAAATTATGGAACTTTTTCTGAATTTAAATTCAAGACATTTTTTAAATACGACGAAAAAATTAGAAAATATTTTTTCTTGTATTGAGCAGTAATGCATTTGTTTATAGAAATAATTTAATGAAAGTCGTTAATTACAATGGTTATTGAAATTGGGTCGATTTGACAATTTTTTATGATTACACAGGCCGACAAAATTTGGCCGATCGTCTAACTCAGAAACCAGAATATCCTGTTACGAAGGATTTTGGTGGGCTGAATTCGAATCCGAGGTCCAAAGGACCCCGCACAAACCTTATGGGAAACTCCGTTCGGTCAATTTTAATGAAATTTTGGGAATAGGTTGTTTTTGTTATGAGGAACAAAAGTCTTCATGGGCTCAAAGTTCGCTAATGGACAGTTTCCGAGATATTCGATGTTAAATGTTGATAATGCGAATGCATGACAAGCACGTGTTTAAATACTTATTAGTCGCGTAAAAGCTGGATGAAGCTTAAAAACTGTATAATACGTATATATTCGTCTATATAGTGCATATTCATTCGTTTGTGTGTGTATGTGTGTGTGCGTGTGCGTGCGTGCGTGGGTGTATGTGTATACTTTTCATAAACAAATAAACGAAGAGGCTAGGAGTAATGCTATAGTAATACTTCTATATTCACGTGCAATCTGAACAATTTGAACAATTTTATAATTTCAAAGGTCTTTGATCTTTAATAGTTTATGATATTTCTGTAGTTCCGCGTCAAGTAATAATTAAATGTTACGGAATTTTTTTGTTAATCAGTTCCAACTGGTACTATTTATCTTAGTTCATAACGTCTTCTATCGTTTTTTAAGGCATCTTGTACATCCAAATATGCATTACTACTGCAAATTGTTTTCTCTGTATTACCATAATTTATTTAAAAGAGATATTGTCTAACTTCCTTCATTCATTTTAGAATTAATTACAGAAACCGAAAAACCATAGTGCGTTTAGCACAATCATAAAATCACGGCAGTAAATGTGTTCATGATTCATCCAGGACGAACAAAAAGTAAAACTAATTGCATCTTCGTTAATCGATGATCACTTTCGGTGATTTACAACCTAAATTTCATTCACATTGGATGATGATCATTCAAACTGGCCAACAAAAAAAATACCATATAAACACATTTGTCACTTACCTCCCATGCAAACCTGGCGTCTTGCGGAATGCTAGCCCACTTCCCCTGAAAAGGTCCATACCGGGCGCCTTTGTTGATGGTAGTCTTTGCGAATACTCCATTCTCCCTCAACTCCAGTTCACCGGGCAACGTCCCGCTAGCTAGAATCACTTCTCTGGCCCTCAGATAGAAGATATCAACCTTTCCATTGGTTTGTTTACTTTCACTGCAATATTTCTGACGATCCTCCTCGATTCTGGACTTCTCGAACAGTTCCTCGGGAAGCTTCGTGGGTATTTTCCTACTTTCTGCGATCATATCCTCTGGGGAAGAGTAGATACTGTTTACGTAGTCATTGGTAGGGTAGTGTTGCAACGTTGATTCAGTTTGGGGCGGGACCATCGCCCTTTCCATGGAATGCTCTTGGAGGTCCAAGATCTGGGAGGAAACTTCTATTTCATCTTCAGAACCTTCTGGAAAAGTAGAAACACGTTAATATGAAAAATATAGTATACACGAGATAAAGTACAAATGATTAGAATCAAGAAAAAAATGCAATATCTAAAAATTTATATATGAATAAATACAGTATTATAAAAACTGCTTCATTTTAATAGCAATCTGGGGTAGATGACTCAAGACGCACTAAGTTTAGACAAACACTAAAGACAGATATCTGAGCTGAATTATAATGTAAATTGAAGCCATTAGTTCATTCAAAATTCATTACTGCCAACACCACGTATCTACATATTACAGTATCTTCAGCACTCAATAAATTCGATTTTCTTGAGTTGGTGCTTCAGAAATTTCCAAAAAAAAAATCACTAACTGGGACTCTAGATCAAATATCAATCAAGGTACGTTCATATGTTTCGTGTGTTTATGTTTGCTATTTGTAATTGTTTTGTAGTATTTGCCAGTATTCCTGTGCTTATTTACAAAATAACTATTGAGTTGAAAAAAAAAAAAACAGAATTTCGTGAAGTCATGATGATTTTTACGTAAGTTAAACGAATATTTTAAGACCCTGTTTTATTTGTCACATTATTGTAGATTTGTGTAAAAATGCCGCTTACACCGGAACAAAATGCATTCATATTGATAGTACATTTTCGCTGTGGTACACAGAACGCAGATAAAAGTTGGTCTTACTCTTTTTTTAAGCCTTTTCTGATTCGCATAGGATGTTCTTAAAAACCACAAATTAATCCTTATTAAAAGATATAAAGAATATAACTGCATTTGCAAGGGCAAGTTGACAGATAGATTTACTGTTTTAACAGAAAATGTTGAGAGAAGATAATCGACAATGGTGCGAAGTCCTAAGAAACCTATTTCGCAGTTATCTACTCAAACTGACTTACTGTTAATATAGTTTGAGTTATGTATTTTTTTTAACCTACAGATAAGGGTATTCTAGGTTCAAACTAATTTTATTCCGATGTGGTATGAGTACATTTAACTGGTTATGTAAATAGTAAAAATTATAGAACTTAGACTACAGAAAATTCATAACTTTATTGAATCATTGTTACATCTTCAGAAGATAGGTATGTGGGTGGAAGTTTCATTCGGGTCATTTATTACAAATTTCAATAATATAAGTATTTGTTGGCTGAGCAAAAACTTACATTAGCATCGTAAGATTAACTAATTTTTCTAACCTTTTTCAAACAGAAACTACTTTTTTAATTTACATTGGGATAAACATTAAAAATATTTTAGATTAATATGATTATTCTGTATGTAAATCGTAAAAAATGATTTTTTCAATTAAAAAAGAATTACGTTTTGCAAATTAATGTTCAATTTATATAAAAAAATTGCATTGTATACCTACTACACTGAACCATTCTCTGACTTTACAGGAATTTTGAGTTAATCATTGCCTTTAGTGTAAGTTTAGTTGCCTAACAGACGTGATCACATTGGCTTTGATCGTTCTTGTAGACCCTATACATACCCCTTTGCTCTAAAATATTGGTTTCATTATTAATAATAAAATTACTGCTAAATGTTGCTTAAATTTTTCATGTCTATATCAAAATACTAGTGTTTTATTTGACGATATTCGTAGAGGGCGACAAACATTTGTTTTGACAAGAACTCTTGAAAATGCAACCAGCTAGAATACATGAATTCAACCTTCTCTTCATTGACTGCCGAACTCTTCCAAAAACCATAGTTTCCTTTAGGCTACATTATTAATTTCAAATATATCAATAATGCTGACAATTGACTAAAAATTTTCATCACCCTGTATCTTCAAAAGAAAACAGTTTTCCGAGTATCATTAAAAGACAAAATATTCTAAAAATTAGTTAGATTGTATTGTACAAGTGTACCAATTACGTCCATAACTACACTAAAATCTATTTATTGGATTTAAATTGATCTTGTACCAACATGTTCAAGAAATCTAATAACACCGTTTGTTTTCAAGTAACAAGACTATATTTATATTATGCACAACTATCAGCAAAAACTGTCTTTTCCTAATTTTTCCTTGCAAAATAGAATACTAATAGCTATTTGTTTTTTAGTGAATACCAATACAAGCTATAAAGCATATTTAAATTTATAGAAAATAATTTTCAAAAGCAATTCAATTTTCGATTTATTCCAATTTGTAAAATGTAAAACTGATTAAGGATTATAAACATATACTAAAATCATTATGAGTTTCTGTTGATTTATTTGACAGAATCCAACTTACAATACAATTTTCCTTATAGAAAGCGGGTTGTGAAAGCTGCGAAATAATGCAATGTATCTCCTCTAAAGTACTACTTGTATTAGTGTTGTCATTAGCGTTACATACTGAATTTGTCGATGCCGGTTTCGTCATCTTTAAAAATCTAGTTCCAGCTTTAATAACATAACGAGTAAAAACAGTAGAGTGAACAGTGAGTGGAATTTAACTCTAGCGTCCCCTACGGAGTCTCATCTTTTTTCAGGTAAGTTCATTCAATTTTTCTCTTTTAATTAGAAAGGGATACAGCTTACTCTAATATTATTCCTTTCAAGTAACAAAAAAAATGCATTGTTACAAGAGAAAAAAAATAATATTCATCTTAAATTCATAGGTAGAGAACGGTTGTTATAGTTACCTTTATCATAAACTTTCTAGTTGCCGAAAAATGAAGATGTGCTTAATATTGAATAAAAATGGTATGATCTTAATTTGAATTTATAACACTCTATCTCTTTGGAAATAAAGGAATTTTTATCTCGTTACTCGTAATAGGAATTGTATCTTCATGAATAATATTGGAAATACAATAGAAACTAATTTAGGAGCTAGAGAAAGCCAAAATTTTTCTTCAAACTCCAGAAACAATAATTCTACAGTTGAAATACTTATACTTATAGGAACTTATCTTTGCAGTTTTGGCAATTAATCATATTTCCCTTTTTAGAAATATTTACATTGGAATGGCATTTTTCAAAAACATTGATGTACTATATCTTGAAACGAATCAATATCAAATTCAGTTATATTTGAATTATCTCATTTGATCTAAGGAATTTTTCATTAACCTTATTACTTTTTCAATTAAATTAATATACAACTTGTTACGAAATTAAAGTTTGGACTAAACATTTATCATCTGACAATATCGTTTAAAATTTTGACGCGTAAACGTGAAACAAAGATCCAAATCAAACTAATTTAAGTTCCTCTTATTTGCGGAGCTGTTCTAGCAAGTCCCGATCGATAAGAACGGTATTGCTTTGTAGTTACGGAAATGATTCCGGTTCTATGATCATATTCGCCGACTGTTTGCCCAGGATTAGGCATCCAATCCTAATGATGCCGCTTTTCGCATGTTCCGGACATTTCGGGGACTTCTAGGCTGCTCGCAGAGATTTATCTGTGGACTGTTCGCAACTTGATAAAAGAGATATTCTCTGTTTATTCGGTTTATTGCGAGTTGACGGTGAGGTGGTTTCGTTTATTGACAAAAGTTAAAGTTAAAAATTTATTTATTATTTATATAATTTTTTAATCCGGCATATTTCGATAAAATTTTCAATTTACCAACAATTTCGAGTAAAATTATAAATAAAATGTATCTATACATAGGTAGGTGTATGTATAATATATCTAAGATAAAGTACACTCTGCAAAAAAATTTACGGAGCAAAAAAGAGTGACCGCAAAAACAGCATATTTTTAGCCTATTTTCTCACCCTTGCCAGAGACCTTAAAAAAATCCTAAAAATATTCTGTATATGTCAAATTATTAGTAATGAAAATTCAAGATGAGCATATTTTTTTAGTTTTTCGAAAAATGTCGAATGTCACCCCTAATTAGGGGTGAAATATATGAATAATATCAATAAGAATAAAAGCAGTTCTTATTGTATTCTTTCTATAAAATAAAATCTTGCAAATAGAAAATAATTTATTTTCATGATTAAATCATCCCCTAAAAACGAAAAAAATCAAAAATTGCTTGAAAAATCTAGGAAAAAAGTACTAGGATATTTTAAATTATTAGAAATTCAAATCGTGTACTTCTCACTGGTATCTATAAGAAAACCACCCCTGTAACGAAGGGGTGAACTACCTCCGAACGTGATAACATACGAAAATATCATAGTGATATAAAGAAATATTTTATAATAGATCTTACTTTTCTTATTAGAAAGATTAAGCTGACTTGACCTAATTATTCCCAAATTTTATAAAAATCAGCCCTCAGAGGGGGTGAAATTATCCCCTAAATATAAAAAAATCAAAAAATATTTGAAAAATCTTGATTTTCAAGTAATTTTTTATTTTTTCTGTATTTAGGGGATGATTTAAGCCCCTTAGCGAATTTAAGGGTGGACTTACAACTATATCACGCCCTCATTAATCATGAAAATAAATTATTTCCTATTTCTAAGATTTTATTTTATAGAAAAAATACAATAAGAATTGCTTTTATTATTATTGATGGCATTTCAGTTTTGTGTCATCATATCAACCCCTAATTAGGGGTGATTTTCGATATTTTTCGAAAAACAAAAAAATATGCTCATCTTGGTTTTTTATTACCAATAATTTGACATATGCAGAATATTTTTAGGATTTTTTAAGGTCTCTGGCAAGGGTGAGAAAATATGCTAACTTTGCGGTCACTCCTTTCAATTTTTTATTATTTTTTTATTTTTGAAAGGCTGTAACTTCGCGAATAATGGTCGTATCGACGAAAAAAAGATCTTGAATCTTGAAGCTTGAAGATTCTAGTTGTGTAATCCTAATGAAACATTTTTTTGCGCATCACTGTCGGCGCAATTTTGAAAAATTATTATTATTTTTTTTAATTAATTATTTAATTTAACACAAAATTGTGAGATAAATCACACAAAAAAAATTCCATCTTAATCATCATTAATAATTATTGGTGTTTAAGAAGCAATAAGCCTGCTCCTTTATTTTTTTATAAAACTTTGACGATTCAGGAAAGGAAAACGGTTC